TCTTTGGACCAGAGACTTCTCCCAGGACGCAGCTCAGTCTGTGTCCCGGCTGTCCTGTGGTGCYACCACCTCATCCTCCTGTGCCCTGGGCCTTCCAGCTGCTCCTACYGCCTGCTTCCAACCAAGGCGCCATAGCCTCATGCAGCCTGGGCCCCACCCTCTGGCCACTGTCCTCTTTTCTTCAAATAGCCTCTGTGGAAAAGGAGAACACAGGTAGAAGAGCCACAACATTGCTGGGACCTGGATGTCCCTGGAGGGAGGGCATACCTGTCCCCACGTGGAAGTCATGTGACAAGGTACCAACCACATAGCATGGGGTGGGGGCAGGTGGGCTTGATGGCACCTTGTGCAAGGCCAGAGCCCCACGTCTAGGTACACCTGGACAGCCAGTTTGCAACTTGAGAGACCCAGCTGAGTAGAGATGTGGWAGTCCTCTAGGACAGTGCTGATGTCTGTCCATCTGCCCTACAGAGGGAAGCAAGCCCTAGGTCCTGGGCAGCCAAGCCTGCAGTGTGGAAGTCTTGGTGGAGCAGAGGAAGGGATTCTGGAGGGGAGGCTGCTGTGCCCAGGTGTGTGTAGCTCGCTGAGCAGGAGCCATGGGGGCACCATGCGCCAGTTCAAAGTGTGCTTGTGCCCTGCTCACCCTGRGTACTGGACTGGGAGACACTGCACTCCCCAGAAGGCAGAGGTCCGATCCCTGCTTGACGAATCCTGGACACAGGCCTTGGATGTGTGTCCTGATACACAGCCTGACCAAAGAGCTAATTCTTTCCTTAAAACAGGGAGAAGACAAGGCAGGACAGAGTAGAGAGCGTGGAAGTCAGACCAGCCACCCGCATCCCAGGCCTGGTAGTGGAGAGCCAAGCCTCGCCCTGCGCTGCCCTGGAGCACAGCTGTAGATTTGGTGCCTGCCAGCCAGTGGCTAGGCGCCCAGCTTTGTGGCCAGCCCAGAACTGWCCTCTGCGACTTGGGGAGCTCTGCCTCTGGCTTGTGCCTCTGCATGGCCACCTGCCCCAGCTTTGGGGCTGCTGCTCTGTATACCTCCTTGGTTGCTCYAGTTAATGAATAGTAACCACTGACCAAAGGCTCAGGTCAACATTCACAGGCCGAGGCTGGACCATCACACTGCTCTCGGGGCCAAGGTGGTGGGACAGTCTCGCCCTGGCAGCCTCASGCTCCACCCTGGGAAMGGGGCCCTCCCTGACTGACAGGGTGTGGAGGATGGTCTGGTTCTGCCTGTGTCTTCACAGAGACCACTGCTGTCCTGTGGCACAGCTTCTCACGTACGTGGGAGGGTGTAACCAACCACTGGGACAATGTAGCGAGGACACCCCCGGCCCCACACAGAGGAGGGCCTCTGGTCTTTCTTTAGG